CTACACTGGTCCTACTGGAGGTCTTGCTGAGCGTCGTGAGCCTGCGTCTCGTCCTGCGTCGCCTGTTCGTGCTGCTCGCACTAGTAGTCGTGCTCCGCGTCCGCGTCCTCCTGCGGTCCCAGGCACACACCAGATGGCACTGCGTCCTTCCACTGCTCCTCTGCGTGTCCCGTTGCCGTCTCCTCCAGAGTCCTCTCTTCCTGTTCTTGCTGACCCGGAGTCTGACTCTCTTCGTGCTGCCAGTCCTACTGTCACGCGTCTCCTGGCTACTGTTGTCACTGACCCTTCCTTTGAGTCCACTGCTGCGTCTGCCTTAGTTGCTGAGCTTGTCGACTTTGCTGCTCGCTGTCGTCTAGACTACGCCGCTAGTCTCGTTGCTGAGTCTGAGTCTGTCTGTCCTCCGTCCGTCGGGGGTGAGTGTGCTCTTAGCACGGACGTCCTTGAGGACAGGCAGGAGGAGTTCCAGTGTTTTGCTGCTGCTTTGCCTCATCTCGTGTCCACGCTGATTGCCCCTGCGGGAGACCCGGATGCACCAGACATCCCGACTCCTCGATGGTACGCTGAGGCGATTGAGGGTCCCTACTCCTCACAGTGGCAGTCAGCCATGGACGCAGAGATGGCTTCCTGGAAGTCCACAGGCACCTACGTCGACGAGGTTCCCCCAGCTGGGGCGAACATCGTCAGTGGCATGTGGATTTTCGTTTCCTCCTGGTACCCAGTGGAGCCTCCGGCGGCCAGTCTACGGTCTCCGCCAGGCGCCCCGTGAGTGGCACGACACACTGAGGACTACACTTGCGGCTCTTGGGTTTGCTCCGTCTACTGCCGACCCGTCGCTGTTTCTGCGCACCGACACTTCTTTGCCGCCGTTCTACATCCTCGTGTACGTCGACGACTTGGTCTTTGCCACTGCTGACACTGCTGGACTTGCCCACGTGAAGTCCGAGCTGCAGAAGAGATACACGTGCACAGACCTGAGTGAACTGCGCAGCTACCTTGGCTTGCAGATCACCCGGGACAGAGCACAGCGCACCATTACCCTGACTCAGTCACACATGGTGCAGCAGGTCCTTCAGCGCTTCGACTTCACGTACTCCTCGCCTCAGGCCACTCCTCTGTCTACTCGCCACTCGCTCTCAGCTCTGCCTTCGGATGAGTCCGTAGAGCCGAGTGGCCCGTACCCAGAGCTTGTTGGCTGCCTCATGTACCTGATGACCTGCACACGACCTGACCTAGCATACCCTCTTAGCATCTTGGCACGCTATGTTGCTCCTGGGAGACACCGACCAGAGCACATGGCTGCAGCGAAGAGGGTGTTGCGCTACTTGTGCAGTACATCGGGCATGGGGCTAGTGCTTGGAGGGCGACGTCGAGTGGTCCTCACAGGTCACGCAGACGCTTCTTGGGCTGACGACCAGGCTACGCAGCGGTCGTCACAGGGTTACACCTTCAGCCTTGGCTCCGGCTCTGTTTCGTGGCGGTCTACCCGCTCGTCTTCTGTTCTCGGCTCCAGCTGTGAGGCTGAGATCTACGCGGGGGCCATGGCTGCACAGGAGCTACGCTGGCTCACCTACCTGCTGACTGACCTAGGAGAGCCGCCTCGTTCTCCTCCAGTTCTGTACGTAGACAACAAGGCCATGCTGGCCTTGTGTCGGGAGCACAGACTGGAGCACAGAACGAAGCACATTGCTCTTCGCTACTTCCTTGCTCGTGAGCTGCAGCAGCGTGGTCAGCTGCGCCTTGCTTACGTGGCCTCTGAGGCCAACACTGCTGATATCTTTACCAAGGCACTTCCGTCTTGTGATCATCAGCGCTTCTGTACGATGCTAGGTCTTGTGCCTACTTGGCCTCACTTGCTCACTTCTTGACCTTGCTTGTAATGTGATCTTTCTATACTTGCACTTGCTTGTTTACCTTTATATATGATCTTGCATGTGAACTGGCCTTGTGGCTTTGCTCTTGTGCTCGGACTGTGTGGTGCCGTTGTGATCCACCCTGAGCTTGCTTTGCTTTGCTTGACTGGTCTTGTGACCTCTTGTTCTCCCCCACTTTGCCTATGGGGGTGTGTCAAACTCATATGCTATAGTCTGTGTAGGCTGTAGTGGGCTAGACAATATGGGGTACAACACTTTTAGGTTTTCCTATTTGTACCCACTTGCTTGCTAGTTCACTCATTCCTCGTTCTTTCACCCCTTCTAGATCTCAATAGCTGTCAATAGAGTTTAGTAGTGGGTCCTCAATCTTCTTAATGTATACTCGTAATAAAGCATATGGTAGTACATATCTGAATCTAAAATCGTGATTTCGTCAAGCAACTTGATATTCTTACTACAACACGAGACTCTACGAAACGATGAATGAGACACTGAATAGGGACCATAAGCACGTTTCTTTTGAGTATATTTACAACTTTATATGCATTTATGATGGTCAATAAGACAATCATAGCTCCTGACTTTGCAAACTTAATGGAGTCACCATATGCATACGTCGTATCTATAGACGCTTGTTTACCTATGCTAATCAGTTGCGATTGATCTCAAAACCAGGCAGCATCACCTAGATGCAGAGTAGGGGCATTGGTATTAACAACGGGGTTAAAAAAAAATCACTAAGGACACTATTCAGCTGAGAGTGGTATTGATGGCTATCCTTGAACACATTTGTCTCATACTGCGCACGGACACTTGACTATTTATGCAAATCAATTGCGATTGGAGAACAAATTACTGTACAGCCTCACCTATCTACATAGTAGGGGCTATTGGTATAACAAGGACACTAAGCAACTGAGAGTGTTATGAACCACTATCCTTATACAGGGTTGACGCGTCCTTTTTTCAGACGCTTTAATACCATTGGAAAACATATGCAATTGATTTCAAAACCGGGCAGCATCTCCTAGATTCAAAGTAGGGGCTATTGGTATTAAGAACAGTTTTGACCCATTATGCATTCTAAGGCTTGATTACCTATGCAAATCAAATGCCATTCATCTCAAAAGCGGACAGCCTCACCTAGACACATAGTAGGATCGATTGGTATTAAGAAACGGTAGTAAAAAATAAAGAACGGCTCTATACAGCTGAAAGTGGTACGGATGGCTAACCTTGAAGAGATTTGACATGTTCTGCGCATAGACGATTGATTATTTAAGCAAATCAACTGCGATTTATCGCAAAACTGGACAGTGTCACCTAGACACATAGTTGGGCCTATTGGTATGAAGAAACGGGAGTTAAAAAAAAAAAAAAAAAAAAAAAAAAAAATGGCACTAGTCAGCTAAGAGTGATATAAATGGCTTTCCTTGAATACATTTGACCCCTTATGCGCACTGACACTTGACTACCTATCCAAATCAATTGCGAATCATGTCCAAACCGAACCGCCTCACCTAGACACATAGTAGGGGCTATTATTATTAATCAACGGGAGCTATAAAACATAGAGGGCCCTAAACTGCAGAGGTGTTATGAATGGCCATCTTTGAACAGTTTTGAGCCGTTTTGCACACTAAGGCTTGAATACCCATGCAAATCAATTGCGAGTCATCTCAAAACCGGACAACCTCACCTAGGAACTTAACAGGACCGATTGGTATAAAGAAGCGGTTGTAAAGAAAATAAAATAGGCTCTATACAGCTGAGAGTGGTATGCATGGCTAACCATGAACAGATTTGACACGTTCTGCGCACAGACGATTGATTACCTACGCAAATCGATTGTGATTCTTCTCAAAACAGGACAACGTCACATAAATACATAGATGTGGCTATTGGTATTAATAAACGGGAGCCATAAAAAAATAGACGGCTTTAAACTGCAGAGCTGATATCAATGGCTATCCTTGAACAATTTTGACCCATTATGCAAACTACGGCTTAATTACCTATGCAAATCAATTGAGATTCATCTCAAAATCGGACAGCCTCACCTAGACACATAGTAGGATCGATTGGTATTAAGAAACGGTAGTAAATAAATCCAAAACGGCTCTTTACAGCTGAGAATGGTACGAATGGCTAACCATGAACAGACGGTTGATTACCTACGTAAATCAATTGCGATTCTTCTCAAAAGAGGACAACGTCAAATAAACACATAGATGGGGCTATTGGTATCAAGAAATGGGGGGTTAAAAAATAAAAACGGGCACTAGAAAAGCGAGAGTGATATGGCGAAACTTTCATTCAACAAGTTCTCTCACTCTCTCTCTTCCCCCCCCCCCCCCCCCCCCCCCCTCTCTAATCGTCCTTGTATTGATATAACAGCAAAACACAAGCATGCAAGTTATAGAGGCAAAGGTAACAAACAAACCATCTAACATCAAACGAACAAGCAACCTAACCTAGGCATCCGCTGGCCTACCCCTTCCTAAACCTCCACTAGGGGCTCAATCACGGTGAGGCAATCACCAAGGTGAAGCTCGTGCTGTGTTCCCCCAACTGGTGGGTGCTCTGCCATAGCCGCTTGACAAGACTTCATAAGGTACCCCACCGACTGGGCCCTCTGCAGCGCCACGGACCACCTCTACCTGGAAAGGTGGAGGAATCTAGCTACGTGAAAGGAGTTAGATTCGGCGTTGAAGTGACGCCTAGCAGCTGAATCCGCCAGCAGTTTCAGGAACACGGGCACCTCCGCACATGGGCACCCGTAGGTCTCAACGGCAAGGGGGAAGAAGCCCACTGTGTCAGGCCGGCTAGCATAGTGCTGAATGTTCTTATCCGCCTGCTCCCTCGCTGCCTATCCCCTGCCCTTAGCGGCCGTCGGGTCCCGGGTACTTATGGGATCCGTAATTGTTACATCACAAATGTAGACTGCGCCTGAGCTCCGGTCCATCATCATTAGGTCTGCCGTCTGCCGTCTGCCGATTCCGTATGAACGATAAAGCCCGCATCCCATGCCATGCTGGCGCAGGCATCTCGAAGCTCATTATGCGTGTTGATCGTGTGTTTTCATGTGCCGCAGCGAAACAGGTGGTTGGGCAGTCGCAGGTCACTGATCTAAACGCCTTCTACTGTGGGGTCAGTGAGACCAATCCCACTGAGTGACGGCGGCAATGAAGACTCCTCCCAAACGCGCGTCTGCTCCGTGACACTAGCGGGGGCCCTCTCTCTCTCTCTCTCTCTCTCTCTCTCTCTCTCTCTCTCTCTCTCCCTCTCTCTCTCCCACTCTCTCTCTTTCTCTCTCTCTCTCACTCTCTCTCGATCTCTCCTCCTTTTCCTTCTCCTTCTCCTTCTTCTTCTCCTTCTCCTTCTCCTTCCCCTTCTCCTTCGCCTTGTCCTTCGCCTTCCCCTTCCCCTTCTCCTTTGCCTTCTCCTTCCCCTTCTCCTTTGCCTTCTCCTTCACCTTGTCCTTCGCCTTCCCCTTCCCCTTCTCCTTTGCCTCCCCCTTCCCCTTCTCCTTTGCCTTCTCCTTCGCCTTGTCCTTCGCCAGCCCCTTCCGCTTCCTCTTCCCTTTCCCTTTCTCCTTCCCCTTCTCTTTCCCCTTCTCTTTCCCTTCACCTTCCCCTTCTCCTTCCCCTTCTCATTCCCCGTCTCCTTCCCCTTATCCTTCGCCTTCTCCTTCCCCTTCTCCTTCCCATTCTCCTTCCCCTTCTCATTCCCCTTCTCCTTCCCCTTATCCTTCGTCTTCTCCTTCCCCTTCTCCTTCCCATTCTCCTTCCCCTTCTCCTTCGCCTTCTCCTTCCCCTTCTCCTTCCCATTATCCTTCCCCTTCTCCTTCGCCTTCTCCTTCCCCTTCTCCTTCCCATTCTCCTTCCCCTTCTCATTCCCCTTCTCCTTCCCCGTATCCTTCGCTTTCTCCTTCCCCTTCTCTTTCCCCTTCTCTTTCCCCTTCTCCTTCCCCTTCTCCTTCCCCTTCTCATTCCCCTTCTCCTTCCCCTTATCCTTCGCCTTCTCCTTCCCCTTCTCCTTCCCATTCTCCTTCCCCTTCTCATTCCCCTTCTCCTTCCCCTTATCTTTCGCCTTCTTCTTCCCCTTCTCCTTCCCATTCTCCTTCCCCTTCTCCTTCGCCTTCTCCTTCCCCTTCTCCTTCCCATTTTCCTTCCCCTTCTCCTTCGCCTTCTCTTTCCCCTTCTCCTTCCTTTTCTCCTTCCCCTTCTCCTTCCCCTTCCCCTTCCCCTTCCCATTCTCCATCCCCTTCTCTTACCCCTTCTCCATCCCCTTCTCCTTCCCCTTCTCCTTCCCCTTCTCCTTCCCCTTCTCCTTCCCCTTATCCTTTCCCTTCTCCTCCCCCTTCTCCTTCCCCCTTCCCTTACCCTTATCCTTCGCCTTCTCCTTCCCTTCTCCTTCCCATTCTCCTTCCCCTTCTCTCTCTCTCTCTCTCTCTCTCTCTCTCTCTCTCTCTCTCTCTCTCTCTCTCTCTCTCTCTCTCTCTCTCTAATGGTCCGTACATTGATATGGCAGAAAGGTACACACATACAAGTTCATAAGCATGCAAGTTCTAGCCTATTCCTTATAGAGTTCCACCAGTGGCGATGCTTGCCGGTGCCGCAGTTACATCACACACCCAAACCGCCCCGCTGCTCCTGTCGGACATGGTGAAATCGGCCGTCTGCTCCTCGATGGGACAATGGGCGGCCGACTCACTGTAGACTATGAATCCCGCATCCTGCGCCATACTAATGCAAGCATCCTGGAGCTCGTTATGGGTGGTGATGCGATGCTTGCCAGTGCCGCAGCGAAGGATGTGGTTTGGGAGGTGGGGGTCCGTGACTGCGGTGTGGTCCGTGCAGTCTGAGTTTTTGGGGGTGGAGAAGGGCAACCCAAGCCTGAATCTGACGGCATTGGCGAAGTGTGCCGGTCCAATGCGCCTTGTCGCCTGTATAGGTATCGCCGTCAGCCAGTCCCCCGTGCCATAGCCCGTTAGTGAAAACATCCGCTGCGTGTGGCCTGCAAGCGGATTCAGCTCCATGTCCCTCGTCGCCTGAACTTGTACCGCGTAACGGCTACCGTGGACCTGTAGGGCGAGGGCGTGCTGCAGCTTGACGTCCGTCCGTTTAATACGTTCCCGATCCAGCAGCTCACGCGCGTCGGAAGGCAGGGCGGTTTCGCATTCGGCGAGCCAAGAGTGTAGCAGCGTGCTCTCGTCTCTAGGAAGGAGCATATGGCCGCGCATGTGAGACAGTGCGGAGTCCGGGGCTAGCGCGAGCGCGGAGAAGAGCAGCGCCGCCTGTGTGAAGCTTGCGACAAAAGCGTAAACTCCCTCAACAAGCGGGTCTGTAATGCCTACTCCCCCAAGAGAGGGGGGCAGGGACGCCTGAGCCCATACGCGTGATTGTTCTGCTCTGCCCGCCGGAGCCCGAATGTTGCACGAGGTAAGTAGTGCCGTGAGGAGGTCAAGGCCCCACTCGGTCCATGTATCCCGGGAGACGAGATTGAGGGGGGTTGTTCGGGTGAGATACGCCACGCGCCGAGAAATGCAGCGCGTGATCAGCAGCGAGGCGACCTGTGGGTCAGCCTGCTCGATGAGTGGCAATGGTTTCGCCAAGTCCTTCAGCTGCCCCGCCAAGAACGTGGCTGCCCCGTCGGCCGCCCCTATAAAACTACCCAACATATGGACGCCGTCCTTGCAGAACGGCACCCCTAGAGGCAGCTCAGTTGAATCGCACGTGGCAGCGCTCCATGCTGTGCACTTTTGCGGGTTGTGTTTCAAGCCCAGCAATTCCAACCTCGCGGTGAAGTGGTTGAAGGCAGCTACAGTTGCACGTGGTTCACCCACGAATGTCACGTCGTCCGCATACGCCAAATAAAGCACCTCAGGGTGTGCTGCTGCAGTGTCGCGAAGTGTGGGGTGAATTCCCGCCGCAAAAAGGAGTGGGCCCAGTGGATCGCCCTGGCGAACGCCTCGTTCACTACGCAGGGGTTCGCTCGCAAAGCTCGAATCCAGGTGCAGCCGCGACGGGTTGTCGTAGGTCACGCGAACCAGTGGCAGTAGCGGCGACAGGGTGGGTTCTTGTAACGCGGCTGCAATGGACTGTCGCGAAATGCTGTTGAAAGCATTCGTAATGTCAGTCTGCAGTACCAGGCTGTTCGGGTGGCCGTCCACGTACGTTCGGGCGGCATGAATTATCGCTTCTGCCCCTCCTGGCACCGCCACGCCGTACTGTAGGGGTAGGAAGTGTTCACGTGCAGCTTCGCCCATGACCGAGAGCGTAGCCTTGGCAGCCAGACGCGTCAGGCATTCGCCGATCGCGATTGGTCGGGCACCTCCTCCAGGCTTGGCCAGGGCTATGAGTCGAGATGCTGTGAGCAGGTCCGCCACCAAGGCTGGGAGGTTTCCCCCCATAATTGTGTTTACCAGGGCGTGCAGATGGGTGCTGACGGATGCATTGGTTACTGCCACGTCGCGAAGATGCTCAAATGTTGTGCCTGATGGTCTGGCCCCCATGCCATTCTCGCATCGCCCAAGGAGCTTTGCAAATTCAGCGTGGGAAATGCCCAGAGGACGGGTGTCGGTTGCTTGCCAAGTCAGCGACTCTGCCCCTGCTGGCGGGTGTTTCTGGCGAAGTTCGTCCAGGATTTCTGGACTTGGTGTGCAGACGGGTGTTGACTCGAGCGCCAGCACGGCTCGGCGCAGACTGCCACGTTTTGCCAACCCCTCCGCTCGACTCAGTACACCTGTCACATCGGGTTGGTGACGCGGGGGTGGAGGGGTGTTGACCGCGTTTACTGCGTCCTGGTAGAGCTGCGTCCACTCGCCACGCTGGAAAGCCCGAAGCCTGGCCTTGATTTGCGGCCAGTTTGGGTGCTTTGGCGAAGCTTGGCGGAGGGTGAATCGCGGGAGGAAAAGGAGCAGTCGCCAACCCGCCTCGGAGTCAGGGTTTCGCGAGAGGTGGTGTAGGGGAGTCAGGAGTGCCAGCAAAAATAACTGGCACAAATTTGGCGGTAATCGTCTCGACAGTGGCGGTTGTCGACTGTCGCAGAGGGCGGAAACATCCCAGTTCGCGATGTCAGCGAACATGTCGCTCCTCTCTGCCAGCTCCTGTGGCGAAAAATAGCGGGGCAGCTGCGGGGTCGCGCCTGACGCATGGTGGGATAATGTGGTCCGATTTCTTCGGGCGCGGCTCGATCTCCCTGATTGCTGCCGAGTTGGATTCCCACGCGTTCGATCAGCAGCCGACGGCCCTGCTTGCCCCTCTGTTTCTGCCATGGGTAAATTGGCTGCACCTGGTCCTCTCCTCCCCGTTCCTACCCTTGTTGTCTCTGCTCCATCCCCCTCTTCGTTTTCACTCTCTGGCTGCACTTCCACGATATAAGAGGGGTCATTTCCCTCTTCGACTTCATTAGCTGCTACCAGAGCAATCAAAGCCCGACGCCCTGCCGCCTGATACCCGTTCTCCGGTCCTCCGCCTGCTCCGCTAACCGCCTGGCTCCTCTCTCCCTGAGCCCCTCGTCCACGCGATGGTGATTGCCGGTGCGCCTGAGCCGTCGCCAGAGCTTGTTGTCGCCTGGTCGGCAATGGTCGCCAAGCCTCCATCTGAGCCCGAAAGGGCGACCATGGCGATGAAGCCCCCTCTGCCTCCGGCTCCGAAGCCCTCGACAACATCCTCTGAAAAGATTCTGTAAGAAACAAGAAGTGATCAACTAGAAACATTTGGGAGTACAAGTATGAAACCCTAGAGAAATGTACACCCTAAAGGCTAACCCACTGTAGCCTACAAAACAGAAACATATACAATGTTTCACACACCCCCATAGGCTAAGTGGGGGAGAACAAGAGGTCACAAGACCAGTCAAGAAAGACAAAGCAAGCTCAGGGTGGATCACAACGTCACCACACACTCTGAGCACAAGCAAGAAGCATATATGTAACACAAGCATCACAGTGATCTATACCTAGCAAAGCAAGCATGCAGGTATATATATATAGATCACAGTACAGGCAGAGTCTACAACAAGTGAGGAAAAGTGGCACAAGCCCTAGCAAAGTGCAGAAACGCTGATGATCACCAGACTGAAGCGCCTTGGTGAATATATCAGCAGTGTTGGCCTGAGTGGTCACGTAAAGCAGACGAAGCTGACCACGCTGCTGCAACTCTCAAGCCAGAAAGTAACGTAGAGCGATGTGCTTCGTTCTGTGCTCCAGTCTGTGCTCCTCACACAAGGCAATGGCAGCCTTGTTGTCGATGTACAGCACTGGAGGAGAACGAGGCCGCTCTCCCAGGTCGGTCAGCAGGTAGGTGAGCCAGCGTAACTCCTGTGCAGCCATGGCTGTGGCGTAGATCTCAGCCTCACAACTGGAGCTGAGAACTGAAGACGAACGCGTAGAACGCCACGAAACTGAGCCAGAGCCAAGGCTGAAGGTGTAACCCTGTGACAACCGCTGAGTAGCCTGGTCGTCAACCCAAGAAGCGTCTGAGTGCCCAGTGAGAACAACTGAGCTCCTCCCTCCAAGCACGAGCCCCATGCCCGATGTACTGCACAAGTAGCGCAATACCCTCTTTGCAGCATCCCAGTGCACCTTTCGGTGCCTACCAAGAGCCACGTAGCGGGCCAGAAGGCCAAGAGGGTACGCTAGGTCAGGACAAGTGCAAGTCATCAGGTACATGAGGCAGCCCACTAGCTCTAGGTAAGGACCACTCGGCTCTACGGACTCATCCGAAGGCAGAGCTGAGAGCGAGTGACCTGTAGCCAGAGGAGTGGCCTGTGCTGAGGACCAGGTGAAGCCGAAGCGCTGAAGGACCTGCTGCACCATGTGTGACTGAGTCAGTGTGATGGTGCGGCGTGCTCTGTCCTGGGTGATCTGCAAGCCAAGGTAGCTGCGCAGTTCACCCAGGTCTGTGCACGTGTGTCTCTTCTGCAGCTCCAACTTCACGTGGGCGAGAGCCTCAGTGTCAGCAGTGGCAAAGACCAAGTCGTCGACGTACACGAGGATGTAGAACGGCGGCAGCGAAGTGTCGGTGCGCAGAAACAGCGACGGGTCAGCAGTAGAAGGCGCGAATCCAAGTGCCGCAAGAGTAGTCCTCAATGTGTCGTGCCACTCACGTGGCGCCTAGCGGAGACCGTAGACCGGCCGCCGGAGGCTCCACTGGGTACCAGGAGGAAACGACCCAGTGAAGCCAAGAGGGCGGCGCAGCCAGATCTCCTCGTGCAGGTTGCCCTGCAAGAAAGCTGTGCTGAAGTCAAGAGAGTAA